GAAGAGATTTGTGTTGTGTTCATACGTCTTTGCGTTATTCATCCTTTTTTATATTTTACGAATGCTCGTAAATGCGTGTTGTGTTACGTTTTTAGACATGTCCTCATACTTTCGAAGATGAATGGCTTGATGATGATGCGTTGCTTGAAGAGATGGAACTGGACGGTGTTTGTTACGAGTTACGGCAGCTGAGGTCGGAGTTGGAAGGGTTGAAAATCGAGATGAAGAAGTTGGAACTAATGAGAATCGATATAAAGAAGGAGATGGAAGGATTGAAATCTGACATGAAGGAGATGATGGTTGGATACAAAGCAATTAGGTTCAAGTTGGTCATTGTTGTGGCAGTTCTAATGATGGTGGCTGCTTACTATCATGGATTAGCACGCCTTTGAAGGACCTTTATGAATCGGCAACGTTAGATTTGTATCAAGGTACGAAGAGACTTTGTATTGCGAATGTTCAACTTTGCTTTGTCTTGGAACTGTAAACTTTCTACCGTGTGCTGAAAATCTTTGATGGAAGTGATGAAGTAGGATTGCGAGGATGGTTTCTCGGATGAGAAGGAACTTCCGATTCGACCTCGGCTACCGAATTATCGCCACTCTGGAGGATTCTGTGACATTACAGGTTCAGTAGTTGTATGCCCTCTTCTTTGGTGGTTGGTTTTTCTCTCTTTTATTAACAAGAAAACCTACATAAACCAAACAAAATCATTCAAATCAATAGAAACCCATAAAAAGAGATACAAACATACCTCAAAATTTTCTCGATAACCCCTCCCCGATCCGGTCTACATAGTTGAAACGGTTTACTCTCACACGCCTTTGTGTTATGGCCAACTTGTTTACATTGACTATGCGAGCGCTTTCTTACTTAGCCATCGCATAAAGACTGAACTCAGTCGTGCATTTGCTTATCTCACTCGACCTCTTTGTAATCCTTTACAAACCCTGTTTTCGAATATTTTCAAGCATATCAGTTATCATCGTCAGAAATAATTTAGCCCAACGTTAGAGGATAAAAGCACATCAACATCATGTCGTTAGAGAAGTTAACAATCAAAGACAAAAAGGGTGTGATTGGTGGTAACGCAATCACTCGCAACCGTAGCGATTGCGATTTTGGGGATTGCAGGCGATTGAAAAAGTGATTGTTGGAATCGCAGTTGTCAGTAATCGCAACAAAACGTTAATATTCTAATCGTAACTAAGGTGTTGACTGGTGGAATCGCAATCGCAATCGCGGTGATTGCGGGCGTTTACGATGTGTTTGCTGGTGATTCTAGGCGATTGGTACTGACTGGTAAAAAAATTGTTGTTGATAGCGATTGCGAATGATTGCGATTTAGAACGATTGGTTGACAGCGATTGCGATTGCGATTTGATTTAAATTACTTCTAATCGTAACTAAGGTGTTGACTGGTGGAATCGCAATCGCAATCGCGGTGATTGCGGGCGTTTACGATGTGTTTGCTGGTGATTCTAGGCGATTGGTACTGACTGGTAAAAAAATTGTTGTTGATAGCGATTGCGAATGATTGCGATTTAGAACGATTGGTTGACAGCGATTGCGATTGCGATTTGATTTAAATTACAAAAAAAATACATCATTATATACAATACTAACCATTTTTAAAATATTTTTAATTAGTTTTTTTTACTATTATTTAATATCAAATAATTATTAAATTTATAAATAATTAATTATACAATTGAAAATATTATTTTGTTATCAAATTTAATTTATTTTCAAATATAATTTTAATATTAAAAATATTTATTAGTAAAACCAAACAATATCAAACATAATATATACCAAACAAAATTATTAATATATTTTTTTAATTTTTGTATGTATATATGTAGTAAGTATATAAATATATATATGTATATATATATGTGTATGTATGTATATGTATATATATATATGTATGTGTGTATATATGTATGTATATATATGTGTGTATGTATGTATATATATATGTGTGTATATGTATGCATGTATGTATATATATATGTATATATATGTATATATACGTATGTATATATTTATATATGTATATGTGTATATGTGTATATATGTATGCATGTATATATATATATGTATGTATGTGTGTATATATGTATGTATGTTTATGTGTATATAGATGTATGTATGTATATATGATTGTTTGTGTATATATATGTATGTGTGTATATATGTATGTATGTATATATGTGTATTTATGTATGTATGCATGTATGTGTGTGTATAGGTGTGTGTATATATATGTATATATGTGTGTATATATGTATGTATATATATATATGTTTATATATGTACGTGTGTGTATATATGTATGTATGTATGTGTATATGTATATGTATATGTATGTATGTGTACGTGTATATAGATGTATGTATGTATATATGTGTATGTATGTATGTATGCATGTATGTGTGTGTATATGTGTGTGTATATATATGTATATATGTGTGTATATATGTATGTATATATATATATGTTTATATATGTACGAGTGTGTATATATGTATGTATGTATGTGTATATGTATATGTATATGTATGTATGTGTACGTGTATATAGATGTATGTATGTATATATGATTGTTTGTGTATATATATGTATATTTGTATGTATATAAGTATGTATATGTGTATGTATATATATATGTATTATATATATATGTATTTATATATTTTATGTATATATACACATATGTAAGTTCTTTATATATATAATATGATATGTATGTATATATATACTAATTAATATTAGGGATATTTTGGTCATTTAATCAAAACGCTACAAAACGCTATCGTAACGCAATCTTTTAGCTGCGATTAGAATATTGATATTTTGTTGCGATTGCGGGTGATTACGATTCCAACAATCACTTTTTCAATCACCCGTAATCGCCAGAAGTCGCAATCGCTGCGATTGCGGCGATTGCGTTACCATCAGTCAAACCCTAAAAGATTGCATTGCGATAGCGTTTTACTGCGTTTTTGTTAAATGACCAAAATACCACTAACATTAATCAATATATATATAGATATACATATTATATTATATCTATATATATAAACTTACGTGTGATATACATGAAATATATAAATACATTCACATACAATACATATATATACATACACAGATACATACATATATGAATACATATACATACACATACACGTACAAACATATATATATATATACAAACAATCATATATACATACATACATACATCTATATACTGGTACACATACATACATATATATACACATATATATATATATATATTGATAATAAAATTATATTTTAAAATTTATAAATTTAATAATTATTTGACATTAAATAATAGTAAAACACAACTAACTAAAAATATTTTAAAAATGGTTAGTATTATATGTAATAAAATGGTGTATTTTTTATAATTTAAATCAAATCAAATCGCAATCGCTATCAATCAGTCGTTCTAAATCGCAATCACTTGCAATCGCTACCAACAACAGTTTTTCTACTAGTCAGTATCAACCGCCTTGAACAAACTTGTCGTAAACATCCGTAATCGTTGCGATTGTGATTGCGATTCCACCAGTCAACAATCATCAAAATTCACTTACTGCAAAATTGAAAACTAATTGGCTAATATTTTCACAATGATAACCGTAAATATTTGATGAACCGATGAATATGTTTAGTTTGAAGAGTAGATGGATTAGAAGGGAATGATATATACTGACCTATTTTATTATTAAAGAATGTCAAAATAATGGGAACAAAATATAATGTGTATTGAATGTAATTAATTTGCATATATAGAGATAAGTGTGCAAGTGTATATGAGCAATATATGGGGTGAGATTTAAATATACAAGGAAAAATAAAATTTAAATATCTAAATTTTTATGAAAGTCTCAAATAAATAAATAAATTATAAAATTTCTATATAAATAGCTAAACTTTTAAAAAAAATTTATAAATGTAGTTAAATTTTTTAAAAATTTCTAAATAAACTTAAAATTTGTTAACGAAATTTACTATTTTTATTTAAAAAATATCTGAATTTTGGATTTATTTGAAAATTTTCAAAAGTATAAGTATTTATATAAAATTTTTAAAAAGTTTATATATTTATATGAAAGTTTTATATTTTATATATTTATATACGATTTTTATAAAAGTATAAATATTTATATATATTTGTTCAAAGATAAGATAAATGTGTCATGTATGTTTGATGTATATATAAGTACGTCCATGAGTTCGTATATAAATTATTTTGTCTTCTCAAATAATTATTTTTTTTCTTTTTTATACTGTATCATTGATCCATTTATAAGAGAAATATGATGTAAGAAAATAATTCATTCTTGGTAAGAAAACCTCTTGAACACCTTTTTCTTCTTTTATTCCTTCGCTTTGCAACACATTCTCTAATGAAAGAAACTTTCTCCCCCTTTCAAAGCTTAATTCGAAATCCACTCTCTTTTTTTTTTTTAAAAAAAAAAATCTTATCTCTCCATCTCATGCAGCTTTTATTTGATTCAAATCACATGAACCGCCTCAGCCTCCATCGTCTTCTCCCGGAGAAATGCACCACCTCGGCCTCTGGCCAGATCCAGGTTCGGGTCGGCTCCATCGATGGCGAGATCGATCCGGGGATGCGTGTCTAACGAGAGGAGCGGGATTCCCTGCTCCTGCGTGCGTCTCGAGCTCGGGATGCCGACGATGTGGGAGCTCGCCTGCCCGGTCGACGGAGAAGGCGGCGGTGGAGCCGGGTTTAATGGATTCGACCGCCTTCTCCGCCGCGAGCTTCTTCTTGGGGCCTTTGGGGTTTGGGCCGAAATGGGCCGTTTTTATCTCTATTTTTTTAATGTTTTATTAGATAATAATTAACAAAATGAAAATTTGAAATAACAAAATGCATCGTATGATTCACAAAATTGAAAATCTAGATGAACGTTTAGCAATTTGAAATTGAAATTTGAATTAACAGAGAGAAATGGGAATTTCGAAGGCTATAATATCAAGATCGCAACGGCTAATCCACACACATTGCTCTCTCTCGCTCTTCTTACATACGCATTGCGATCTCTCTCTCGCTCTCTCTTCTTCCACGCACATTGCGATCTCTCTCTCGCTCGCTCTTCTTCCTTCCTGAATTCTCTGCTCTTGTACTGTTCTTGATCTTCTGTTTTCGTGTTTGATTTCGGAGAAGAATGACAAAGCTGTCGAAGATTTTCGGTATCCGACGCAGAATTCCTGTCTTGACGGCGCGGAAGAGACGGAGCTCTTCGTCTCCTTCTCTTTCTTCTAGGGTTCCCATCCAACCACAAAACCCAGAGCCCGTCAGCTCCAACGGCCTCAAGATCCGATCAGCGTCGTACGATTCTCTCAGCACACTAACCGGTTGCATCGACACCATGAACGAAGATGTCCGACAGCTCTTCCTGTCTTCCGACAGGGATCTTCGGAAGAACCCAGATCTGCTTGACCTGGCCAACGATTTCTTCAACACAAATGCTGAATTATATGTTCTCTGTGAATCTCTGAAGAAATCTCTGGGGAAAGCTGATCTTGGAGAAACCCTAATTCTCCACATTCTCTCTGGACATATACATATACATACACGTACAAACATATATATATATATACATACATATATATATACACACATATATACATATATATTGATAATAAAATTATATTTTAAAATTTATAAATTTAATAATTATTTGACATTAAATAATAGTAAAACACAACTAACTAAAAATATTTTAAAAATGGTTAGTATTGTATGTAATAAAATGGTGTCTTTTTTATAATTTAAATCAAATCAAATCGCAATCGCTATCAATCAGTCGTTCTAAATCGCAATCACTTGCAATCGCTACCAACAACAGTTTTTCTACTAGTCAGTATCAACCGCCTTGAACAAACTTGTCGTAAACATCCGTAATCGTTGCGATTGTGATTGCGATTCCACCAGTCAACAATCACCAAAATTCACTTACTGCAAAATTGAAAACTAATTGGCTAATATTTTCACAATGATAACCGTAAATATTTGATGAACCGATGAATATGTTTAGTTTGAAGAGTAGATGGATTAGAAGGGAATGATATATACTGACCTATTTTATTATTAAAGAATGTCAAAATAATGGGAACAAAATATAATGTGTATTGAATGTAATTAATTTGCATATATAGAGATAAGTGTGCAAGTGTATATGAGCAATATATGGGGTGAGATTTAAATATACAAGGAAAAATAAAATTTAAATATCTAAATTTTTATGAAAGTCTCAAATAAATAAATAAATTATAAAATTTCTATATAAATAGCTAAACTTTTAAAAAAAATTTATAAATGTAGTTAAATTTTTTAAAAATTTCTAAATAAACTTAAAATTTGTTAACGAAATTTACTATTTTTATTTAAAAAATATCTGAATTTTGGATTTATTTGAAAATTTTCAAAAGTATAAGTATTTATATAAAATTTTTAAAAAGTTTATATATTTATATGAAAGTTTTATATTTTATATATTTATATACGATTTTTATAAAAGTATAAATATTTATATATATTTGTTCAAAGATAAGATAAATGTGTCATGTATGTTTGATGTATATATAAGTACGTCCATGAGTTCGTATATAAATTATTTTGTCTTCTCAAATAATTATTTTTTTTCTTTTTTATACTGTATCATTGATCCATTTATAAGAGAAATATGATGTAAGAAAATAATTCATTCTTGGTAAGAAAACCTCTTGAACACCTTTTTCTTCTTTTATTCCTTCGCTTTGCAACACATTCTCTAATGAAAGAAACTTTCTCCCCCTTTCAAAGCTTAATTCGAAATCCACTCTCTTTTTTTTTTTTAAAAAAAAAAATCTTATCTCTCCATCTCATGCAGCTTTTATTTGATTCAAATCACATGAACCGCCTCAGCCTCCATCGTCTTCTCCCGGAGAAATGCACCACCTCGGCCTCTGGCCAGATCCAGGTTCGGGTCGGCTCCATCGATGGCGAGATCGATCCGGGGATGCGTGTCTAACGAGAGGAGCGGGATTCCCTGCTCCTGCGTGCGTCTCGAGCTCGGGATGCCGACGATGTGGGAGCTCGCCTGCCCGGTCGACGGAGAAGGCGGCGGTGGAGCCGGGTTTAATGGATTCGACCGCCTTCTCCGCCGCGAGCTTCTTCTTGGGGCCTTTGGGGTTTGGGCCGAAATGGGCCGTTTTTATCTCTATTTTTTTAATGTTTTATTAGATAATAATTAACAAAATGAAAATTTGAAATAACAAAATGCATCGTATGATTCACAAAATTGAAAATCTAGACGAACGTTTAGCAATTTGAAATTGAAATTTGAATTAACAGAGAGAAATGGGAATTTCGAAGGCTATAATATCAAGATCGCAACGGCTAATCCACACACATTGCTCTCTCTCGCTCTTCTTACATACGCATTGCGATCTCTCTCTCGCTCTCTCTTCTTCCACGCACATTGCGATCTCTCTCTCGCTCGCTCTTCTTCCTTCCTGAATTCTCTGCTCTTGTACTGTTCTTGATCTTCTGTTTTCGTGTTTGATTTCGGAGAAGAATGACAAAGCTGTCGAAGATTTTCGGTATCCGACGCAGAATTCCTGTCTTGACGGCGCGGAAGAGACGGAGCTCTTCGTCTCCTTCTCTTTCTTCTAGGGTTCCCATCCAACCACAAAACCCAGAGCCCGTCAGCTCCAACGGCCTCAAGATCCGATCAGCGTCGTACGATTCTCTCAGCACACTAACCGGTTGCATCGACACCATGAACGAAGATGTCCGACAGCTCTTCCTGTCTTCCGACAGGGATCTTCGGAAGAACCCAGATCTGCTTGACCTGGCCAACGATTTCTTCAACACAAATGCTGAATTATATGTTCTCTGTGAATCTCTGAAGAAATCTCTGGGGAAAGCTGATCTTGGAGAAACCCTAATTCTCCACATTCTCTCTGGTTTCGTGGAGGAAAAGAGAGAAGAAGGGAATTTCAGCAAAACTCTCCAGAATCTTAGGAGTTTCAAAGATTTCACCAGCGACGACCCTTTCGCCGGAGAATTCACCAAGCTGTTTAAGAGCTGTCACGCCGATCTCGTCAAGGTGATCGGAAAACTGAATCTGACGACCAAAAAGCTCAACAGGAAACTCCGGAGAATACGCCGGCGCCGGAGAGTTACGATAACGCTGTTCCTCGCGGCGGTTGCCACCGTGGTTATCTCCGCTGTCCTGGTCGGTGTAACGGTGGCTCCGCCGGTGCTGGCAGCGTTGGGGGCTCCCGTCTTGCTCCAAATCGCATCCGAGACCTGTAATCCTATAAAAAACACAACCAAACCGAGTTTCGTGGCCTAACACGCCTATAATGCCTACAAATGCATGTGATCTCCGTATAAATCCTATAAAAACGCCCTGGAGATGTAGAGAGAAATATGAG